TGGGTTATAGTAAGAAAATGTTATGGTAGAATGGAATCTCAAATATGTTGTTGTTTAATATAAAAACAATTACTTATGTATATATATACTGCCGCTGCATATTGCAATATTGCATTAAAATATAATAAAAAATGATATCACTTGTATTTGTTGTGCATAAAGTCATTTGTGTTGTTACGATAAATATTCTAATAATTCGCTTTGAGTTCCAAGTTTTGGTTATTTTGACTTAGCTAGAAAATTAAAGATATATGCATCACCTATGAGTTATAGTGGATTGATATGGTTATTTATGATATCACAATATTAACTGCTTTAGTTTTTAAAATTTTAGGTGGGACGGGAAGTCCCCTAGTCCCATGTAGGTCCGCCATGGAAGTGGAGGACAGCATGATAGACACGAACAGATTTGATGGCTTAATCTTGTTTATTTTTATACCTTTTGAATTTTCATTTACACCATTATTACGAAACACTATTTTCTTAACATCCACTTCACGCCTTTTTTTTTATTATTTTAGTTTTCTTTCCAATTTGTGACATTGATATTCTTCCCAAATGTTAATTATTCGATGTGAAGTTACTTGATCTCAAAATCCTACAATGGTTGTCTCTTTCTAATCATAGAGAAATGAAACAAATCACTAATCCAAAGTTGACTTTAATCTCACTCACAAGCTACTTGCCCTTGGTAGGTAATGCATATAAACCAACGAATTTGGTAAGAAAAACATATAAATTAAATATTTTTTTATTTGTTTCCCATGTTACAGCAAAGTAGTTATATAAGCACCAAACCAGTACCCAAAATAAATAAATAAATAAAATCATGCCGGTTCTGACTGTTGGATAAACTTAAGAGTGGGAAAACAAAGGATAAAGATGACATCCGAAAGCCAAAGAAACATGTTTCGCAGTGGATGTCGCTTTTGTTTTTCACTTATCATTCTTACTTGCTTCCTTGATGGGTGCGGAGCTGCCTTTCAACTCAAACAACCAACACGTTTGTCTTTCTTCACGATGCGCTATCCTATCTTCCCAATTGTTTTCAATTTTTCATAAATCAATACTATGTAAGTAACTATTCCAAATATCAGTTAAAAAAAATGTTGAGATATATAGTCCCACATTGGTTGTATGTGCAACTAATGTGGAGTTTATAAAGCTTTGGGCACTCCCACCCTTTGAGCTAGCTTTTGGGGTGGTGTATCCCAAGGTTCTTTATAAAAAAAATTAAAATTTTAAATTTTAAAAGAGTAATCAATGAATAAAATTGAGTTGTATCTTTTACATCATTCTAAAAAAAGAATAGTTACTCATTAAAAAAAGAATGTAAATATTTGTACGTTACTCATTAATTGGATACGCTAAAAGAGAATATATATATATATATATATATATATATATATATATAAATAAGGGGCGGTTATACTTACTATTGAAATTTTTTATAGAATTAATATTTCTCCTATAAAATGAGATAAATTTATCTTGCTATAATCTCAAAATGACATCAATTTGGGAGTTTGAAAAAAAAAATTCAAGGTATTTTATTAATATTACATAATACAAAAGAAAAAAAAATACTAAGATACCCAAAAAAATTTTATCAAACCTCTAAAACGACTCGTTTTGAAGTTTTTGGAAATAATTTTATCTCATGTTATAAAAGAAATATTTTCTCATATATATATATATATATATATATATATATATATTTATAAGTAAAATCATTTCTGCAGCCGCTTTACGTACAACAACGACAGAGGTATGATTATGATTTCTCACATTTAATGCTTTCATCATTTGTATGGTTATGATTCCCCGCATTTAATGCTTTCAAGTATATATATGACAAGTATTTGATTGATGCACGTACAACAGCTGCAGAAATATAAACCCCATATATATATATATGTATATAACAATTAAACACGTGGACCAAGTAGTACAGGTTGTTCCAATTTGATTAATGATCGAATTAGGCAACTAATTAATGAATAGAAGGAAAAACACACACACACACATATATATATATAGGGGAAGGATATTGTAACAACCAAGTTGTGTTATTACCATGTTACTACCAATCAATCTCACCGTTAGATCGATTATGTTGATCCAACGGTTATATTTATTTCCATCTTTGTATGGTCATGATTCTTCATATTTAATACTTTATATTTATTTCTACCTTTGTATGGTTATGATTTCCCATATTTAATGCTTTCACTTCAAATATGGGGAATCAAGACCATACAAAGATGAAAATAAATATAACTGTTGGATCAACATAATCGATCTAACGGTGAGATTGATAAGTAGTAACATGGTAGTAACACAAGTTGGTTGTTACAATATCCTTCCCCATATATATATATATATATATATATATATATATATATATATATATATATATATATGAAAAATATTTCTCATGTTGCATGAGAATTCAATTCTCATGTTAAGACCCTTCGATTTGCGTGCAAAGTTTTTCTTTTCTTTTTCTCTTATTAATAAATGTGGGGCCCACCACTAGTTGAGTCACATCACAATATGAGAGTGTGAGTCACAATATGAGAATTCAATTCTCATGTAATATAAGAAAATCAAATCCATATATATATATAGGGTTTCTCTTTTCTCATGTCACATAAGATAACATCTCTCATGCTATAGACACAACAAGTAATAGGTCCCACCACTTGTTAAAAAGATAAAAAATAAAAAGAAGATAGCACGGATTTCGATGCCTCACAACATGAGAAAGTAATCTCTAACGACATGAGTAAATGATTTTCCATATATATATATAGAGGTCCACATATTTTTTAGGTTTCATTTGATAACGCAAGTCATGTTTTTAGGGGTCCACATAGTTAAAAGTGATCAAACTTGTTGCCAAAAATGCTTAGAAAAATGCATAGTTAAAAGTGATCAAACTTGATGCAAAAAATGCATAACAAAATGAGGGAGGTTATACTTACTACCTATTTTTCTTACTACTTCTTACTACTAAATTTTCACCGTTGATTTCCGCCAATCTAATGGTTGTAATTTATGGGGTCATACTTATTAATTAATTCTTAATTTTCAATAAATTATAACCGTTAGATTGACGAAAATCAACGGTTAAGATTTGATAATAAGAGGTAGTAAGAAAAATAGGTAAAAAGTATAAATTTTCCCTAAAAAAATAGTTAAAAAGAAAGTTGGGATTTAATAAAAGAAAATCTTATAGTTTTCAATTTTTATTATCAAAATAATAAAATATTTATCTCCTAAAATAGGGTTCTTAAACATCTTTTTATAGATAAATTATAAATTAATTGAAAATTTAAATTCTAAAAATAAGAAAATAAATTTAAAGATAAATATAACAATAGCTACCTACTTAAAATAAAGATAATTATTTATAATTAAACTTTGAAAATAATCACAAATCTTACATATCAGATCATGCTTTCCTTTTTTAATTGAAGAAATTACAATCAAATCTATTCCTTTTTAAATTTAGTTGTAATTTATTATATTTTAAATTATTGCTTCTTTGAATATGCAACTCATGTTTAATTAGGCATAATTCTATTTGACCCTAATTTTATTGAATTAATCTATTAATTGATTGATGCATACTGGGCCAGTTATAAATGTATCAAAACTGTTTACTTTATAAATTTTTTTTAAAGTATATTTTTTTAATATTTTTTAAATTATATTTCGTTGATCAATGAATAGAGATCGATCTTAAATTACAGAAAGCCCATATGTTAAAAAAAAAAAAAAAGTGAATGGCGTCATTCATATAAAATTAACTTTATATTCATTCGAATATACGCAATTTTTATACTCCATCTGTCGTGTGAACAAGGTTATAAGATTCTATATCTTACACGTTAAGCAAATTATGATGATGTGTTTCATTTTTGTAATATTATTCTTTTTTAAAAAAAGAAAAAGTTTTTAGTCAATGGTCAGCCAATTAATTGGAGCACGCGTACATTTGGTCAACATCCAATCTTAAGGACGTTGTCTTGTCGTATTTATATTTTATTTTATTGTAATCTTATATTTTAATTTTATATACTTCCCCCTTATTTTCTTTGCCTTCAAAATATTTCATTTTCAGTCGTACTACAAATTCATAAAGAAAACATAAAACCTGTCGTTGAATAATCATCCCCGTACCTATGTTGTACGTACTACATCACGATTCAGGTACAATAACATAATTAATCTTGATTATTTTAAGCGAAGAGTTGTATTATTTTTAAGATATATTAGTATATATAAAAACACTGATGGTAAGAAATTAAGTTATTTGCACAAATCGCAAGTTTAAAATTTGTTTGCAGTACCAAGTTTTTAAGAAAAACAAAGCTGATAAGTAAAAAAATCTCAGGAGTAAAGTGGAGAATAAAAAGGTTGAAAGTGGGCTTTCTATTGTGCTGCCTACTTTCCAGGTATACCATATAGTATACTATACTTCCTCACAGCACAGTCAACCATTTGGCCAAAAAGCGAGATGAGAATTTCATACTCGGAGAATAAGAATATTTGTTATACATAATATTATTTTTAATACTATATATTCCTTATATATATTAAAATGAGCATTTATTTTATTTCATCATTTAAAAAATAATAACACAATAAAACTAGTACACCAATAATGTTATTTACAAATAACATTAATGTTCCAGAATATATGACTAAATTCATATTCTATTCTTTAATGCATTAATTCTTTCATTTTTTTTTTTTTTGAAAGATAATTCTTTCATTTCTTGATGACTTAATAAATAGATAAATGAGTCCCCACAAACACTCTACTCAATCATAAATTCTCTTCACACCCTTTTACAACTCTCTCCAATCTTTCATCTCCTACCTCATATCATATGAGTCACATCCTCTTTGCCATTATATATATATATATATATATATATATATAATATTCAGAAGATTGCAAGCTACATACTGCATCAACTCAACGTATTTCACCAGGGCTTTCGTCCCAGATTTTATCATGGGTTTTGATATTTCTAACCCAGGTCTTCGACTTGGCCTTTGTCTTGGCATCCACGATCAGTCATCAGAAGATAATTGCATAAAGACTGATGAACACAGGAAGAAACAAAGCCAGAAGAAAAAGGAGGAGTATCCATGTAATAAGTCATACCCATCTCTTACTTTAGGACCACCTGCTGATGAGGCAAATAATCAACTACCTTCAAAGACTGAATCGGATGAATATATCATCCACCCACACGCCTCTTCTCCAAGCGCAGTGTCTTCATTTTCCAATTCGTCTAGCATCAAGAGGGAGAGAGATCAATTCGCAGGCGAAGAACTTGAGCCAGAGGTAGAGAAGATTCAATCAAAGGTTGCTGATGATGATGAAGGTGGTAACCCCAGGAAGAAACTTAGGCTCACCAAAGAACAATCCACAGTCTTAGAGGATAGCTTCAAAGAGCATTCTACTCTCAATCCGGTATCTAAATTAAGTTCTTAACCAATTGATTATTAGTATACAATATGTCTTTTTGAGTCATCCATTTAGATCTTGAAGTTTTCACATGATTATTCAATTTTTTTTGGTAGATAACCTGGAGATATCCTCACATAATCTCCTCAGGCCATTTTGTTTTCTGAGTATGTGTATCTTAAGGTTAATAACTCATCGAAACAAGAAGTGTAATGAACCATAACTATTAAAAAATAATTAAATATTGTGATATTTTTTAACAAAATTAGATAGACTTATATATTATTCACGCTTCTATCCCAACCAGTCTTTATGTGTGGGGATGTGTCATAGAAGTACAATATAAATCATTAATTCAGCCTCCACGTTGAGATTTCATGTTGAAACGATTCTTTACATATAAAACGCCTATTCTTTTCCTTTGAAATTTTCTTCAGAAGCAAAAGCAAGAATTGGCAAGGAAGCTGAATCTGCGGGCGAGACAAGTGGAGGTGTGGTTTCAGAACAGGAGAGCCAGGTTGTTTAATTTGTCTGATATATCTGGACTGCATACATATTCACATGAATCATAAATCTATCAATGATACCAAACGAAGGTAGCTCAGTTGCGCATGGGAGCTAAGCAGATGGGAGTGAGAGTATGTGTTTGAACCTCTTCAGTACCACCTTTGGGAGAGGTTTAAAGCCTTAATCCTGGACTCGCCCCGAATCGGATTAGTTGCTAAGCAATGAATCGATTGGAATATTTCCAAAAAAATAAATAAATCTATGCATGATGCTTCATGCATGTTTCATTGACAGTACAATGTTCTTGGTTTTAATGTAATCATTACGTTTACATATATGCAGGACAAAACTGAAAAAAACCGAAGTGGACTGTGAGTTACTGAAGAAGTGCTGTGAAACTCTAACAGAGGAGAACAAGAGGTTGCAAAAAGAGCTGCAAGAGCTCAAATCGATGAAAACAACGCCAGGATCCTTTTATATGCAGCTTCCAGTAGCCAGCCTTATCATATGCCCTTCTTGTGAGAGAATTTGCGGCGGCGGCAGCGGCGGCGGAAGTAACAATCCCTCCTCTCCCACGACGGCTTTGCTTAATGGCCCAAAGGCTCATCATCACTTCAACAAAAATAACTATACATATTCACCCAATCTTCCGCAGCTTGCTAGCTAGGGAGTCTGAACTTCAATGTCCAGAAAACCATTATTTTTGTTCGGAGGGATTTTTCTTTAGCGATGATATATAATCTGTAGTTACTATTTAGATAGCATTCCGTCGTGTAAAAAAAGATAGACGATTAAGGGTCATATCGATTATTATCACCACGTGCTGCTTATAATGCGCGTGATATACTTCGAGCAAAGTT